CGTTACCGTAGGAAACGTAACCTAGTTTCGTTTAACTTGTAAGGAAACGGAAACGAATAAAATAATTTACCTACTAGGTTTATTTAGTACTTAACTGTTACCTGCAAGTAACATTGTTCAATTGAGGAACGAAAATAAATATTTCCATGGTTTATTTAGACTGTTACCTGCAAGTAACATTGTTCAATTGAGGAACAAACATAAATATTTCCATAGTTTATTTAGACTGTTACCTGGAAGTAAGAGCATTTGACTATAAAAGTGAAGCATTTGCATGTGTATTAAGCAACAGAAATAGAGTTGTTACCTGTACATTACAATGTACATTATAGGCTTAAGGTGATCAATGATAATCCGTTATTTAACACTATGATAGGCCTTAAAACAGTAAATATAATCAAGTCTAATGAGCTTATTCTTTTCGTACTTGATACAATCCAAGCTTAACCTATTTTTACGATATAATTTGGCTATAAAAATTTATTTTTACTTTAATCAAAACTTACTGTACAATAATATACTTTATTCATTCTTCTTTACATTATATAAGATTGAGAACTCTACTCACTGTCCAGGTGACTTTCAAAGACTGTGACCCCGTGGCCTCGACACAGACATTTAATGGTGGACCACCTGGCACTAAAGAGTGATGACTCAATCGTGATAGATATTTTTTTAACTTTCTATAATCTTCAAACACCAATAAATCATGCTTTTAATAAAAATATTAATAATCTAATGATACTTATGGAAATTATCTCAAATACGAAAAGGGCATTAAAACTAATAAAAAAAGCTATGAAAATTGACGAAGCCAATTTAACCATACACTTTAAAACATAATTGTAGATGATGTTTAGATAATATCAACTTTCTAAATTACAGTTAAGAAAGAACAAAAACGTATTCAAAATACAGCAACTTGCAAAGTTTAAACAATATCATTACTCAAGAAAAATTATTCACGGTAAAATCATCTGTAGGTTTTTAAGCAATATTATATTCAAGAACGAACAAGAAAAGTATTCAAGATACAGTCTCTGTAGGTTTTCAAACAATATTATGTTCAAGAAAGAACAAGAAAAAGTATTCAAGGAACAGTAGTCTATAGGTTTATTAAACTATATGATATTCAAGAAAGAATAAGAGAAAGTATTAAAGATACAGCCATCTCTGGGTTTTTATACAATATTATATTCAAGAAAGAACAAGAGAAAGTATTCAAGGTACAGTCGTCTGTAGGTTTTTAAAAAATATTATGTTGAAGAAAGAACAAGAAAAAGTATTAAAAGTACAGTCTTCTATATGTTTTTTAAACAATGTTATATTCAAGAAAGAACAAGAAAAAGCATTAAAGGTACAGTCTTCTATAGGTTTTAAATAATATTATATTCAAGAAAGAACAAGGAAAAAGTATTCAAGGTACAGTCGTCTGTAGGTTTTTAAACAATATTATGTTCAAGAAAGAACAAGAAAAAGTATTAAAGGTACGGTCTTCTAAAGGTTTTTAAAGAATGTTATATTCAAGAAAAACAAGAGAAAGTATTATAAGAACCGTCCACTGTAGATTATTAAACAATGTTATATCAAGAAAAAACAAGAGAAAGTATTAAAGGTACAGTCGTCTCTAGGTTTTTAAACAATGTTATATTCAAGAAAGAACAAGAAAAAGTATTAAAGATACAGTTTTCTATAAGTTTTTAAACAATAAGATGTTCAAGAAAGAACAAGAAAAATTATTCAAGGTACAGTCGTCTACAGGTTTTTAAACAATATTATGTTCAAGAAAGAACAAGAGAAAGTATTAAAGATACAGCCATCTGTATGTTTTTGAACAATATTATATTCAAGAAAGAACAAGAGAAAGTATGCAAGGTACAGTAGTCTATAAGTTTTAAACAATGTTATGTTCAAGAAAGAACAAGAGAAAGTATGCAAGGTACAGTAGTCTATAAGTTTTAAACAATGTTATGTTCAAGAAACAACAAGAGAAAGTATTAAAGGTACAGTCGTCTGTAGGTTTTTAAAAAAAATATGTTGACGAAAGAACAAGAAAAAGAATTAAAAGTACAGTCTTCTATATGTTTTTAAACAATGTTATATTCAGGAAAGAACAAGATAACAAATTCAAGGTACAGTCGTCTGTAGGTTTTTATTAAACTATATGATATTTAAGAAAGAATAAGACAAAGTATTAAAGATACAGCCATCGGTAGGTTTTTAAACAATATTATATTCAAGAAGAACAAGAGAAAGTATTCAAGGTACAGTCTTTTAAAGGTTTTTAATGAATGTCATATTCAAGAAAGAACAAGAGAAAGCATTAAAGGTACAGTCGTCTGTAGGTTTTTATTAAACTATATGATATTTAAGAAAGAATAAGACAAAGTATTA